GGGCGGGAAAGCCGCATGACAGAGAGGGACCTGGGGGTGTTGGTCAACAGACGACTGAATACGAGCCAGCAGTGTGCCCCGGTGGCCAAGAAGGCCAACAGCATCCTGGCTTGTATCACGAATAGTGCGGCCAGCAGGACCAGGGAAGTGATTGTCCCCTTGTACTCAGCCCTGGTGAGGCCGCACCTCAAATGCTGTGCTCAGTTTTGGGCCCCTCACTCCAAGAAGGACATGGAGGTGCTGGAGCGTGTCCAGAGAAGGGCAAGGAAGCTGGTGAGGTGTCTGGAGCACAAGTGTGATGGGGAGCGGCGGAGGGCACTGGGGAAGAGGAGGCTGTTCAGTCTGGAGAAGAGGAGGCTGAGGGGAGACCTTATCACCCTCTACAACTGCCTGACAGGAGGGTGTAGTGAGGTGGGGGTCGGTCTCTTCTCCCAAGTAACAAGCGATGAGAAAATGGCCTCAAGTTGTGCCCGGGGAAGTCTAGATTGGATATTAGGAGAAATGTCTTCACTGAAAGGGTTGTCAGGCACTGGAAGGGGCTGCCCAAGGAAGTGGTTGAGTCCCCATCCCTGGAGGTATTTAAAAGATGGGAAGATGAGGTGCTTAGAGACATGGTTGGACTCAATGATCTTAACGGTCTTTTCCATCCAAATGATTCTCGGATTCTATATTTGCATATATGCAGTCTAAGTCCTTAAGGAAGACAGTATTTCCTTCATAAAGAAAATGTAAGCAATGTAAGCAGTAAGCAATTTTTTTGAACAGACCAATTGTGCAGTTTTTGTTCAAAGGAAATGATAATTTTAATTCTGAAACACTTTAGTATGACAAGATATAGATGAGAAGTGTTCTTTACTTCACAGACCTTTAGTTTTGGTCATGATTTTGTCATAAGCGTCTGTATAATTCATTTTCTTCAGAAAGCCTTATCTTTCAGAAGAATGTGATTACATGAAAATGAAGTCTTTTTTGTTTGGTTTATTTTTTATTTTTAAAGAACAAACTTGGGAGATACATATTGGAAAGACTAGTTTGTAAATGTAACCTCTCCTGCCTCAGAAAAAAGGCAGCGAATAAAGGGAAAACAAAACAATTAAAATCCCTGCAATTATTTTTTAAACGTTATGGTTGTATAGAATTTATCATTTGCCTTGACTGCATTTCCAAGTACCAGATTTTTTAAATTGCTTGAATTTACCTATTAGTTAAGTTAGGCCTCAAGCGTCAGTGTGAGTGCGGAACACGTACGCGCCATTTACTGATTCCGTCTGACCTACTGCTACCGTCCAGGCAACTGGGTCTTGCTGGGAAGGTTCAGAGTTGATCACTGAAAGCCTGTACTTTATGCTCTGCTACATAGGAGGTGTCTTATCAAAGCCACTTCAAATATTCTTCTGGAAGAATGAATACAGGTATGTAGAGAGCAAGTCAAGCACAGGGAAGAGCCCAAAAAAGGAGCTTTGTGTTTATTTTTCTCAGAGCATGGATTTTGGATCCAGGAATCCATTTCTGCTCTAACCGAAGGCAAAGGACGGGGGAAAAAAAGGTTTATTACATCTCATTTGGATAATGCTTTGCTTATTTAGAAGAAACTTCCTTCATTTAACTCTTTACAGATATGGTTTCACCAAAGCCAAAGCTAACTATAAGACTGTTAAATGAAGAAAGCAAAATAATTTGGATTACTTGGCAGTGATTGTGTAATATATTGACTGGCCTAAGTAATGTAGAGTGATCAATTCAGTAAATAAAGCCCCAAATATTTAATAAAATTGAGTCCTGATGCACAACAGTAAATTACACAGCAATTTCAGTACACGGAATGGCTTTTTACACAGCTATCACATTTTTAGCCAAGTCCAATTCCAGCCAACTGTAGTGATTTGAAAGGCTTAGTAAATGATATACAGGTTATGATACATAAGAATTAAGACGACTTCAAAAGACAAACTTACCAACTTTTTTTCCCATTCCTTATTAAGATCATCCACATAGGAGAGAACAAAATCAATTCTCCTGACACCATCCCTGAAGAAAATAGAATCTTTGCTTTGATGTCTTTTATCAATCTGTGGAAGATACAGGCATATGATTAAAAACCCCAAAGTATTGCTATTGCTCTAAAATGTAACAGAAGAAAAAGAACTTTCCCTCAGTTGCCTCAATTCTTCAGTTTCTTCATAGCTGAAGATATACTGGAGCAAGTTTTAACTAGGGCTATATCCAGTTAAAATAATTTCAAAATTAAATGCTTATATCCATAAACACTACATGTAAATAATAGATATATGAAAGAAATGCATATATGTTTGTGTAGCAATACTTGTGAACAATGCCACCATTTATTCTTTCACAGTCTTTACAGTGTGTCATAAATGATCAAGACCAGTGTTACTTTAAAGCATGATTTTTTTCTGCAGTTAGTCAGAATGCCAGGCTACACAAAAGCCAGCTAGGGCACAGTTCATCAACTTGAAGCAGCAAGAAGTAAATCCCATGCATTTTTTTTTTTTTCAATAACAAGATTCATTAAACCAACCACCACCAAGAAATGTCCTAGCAATACCATGTGCGAAAACAGCACACAAACAATACAGGGGTTACGTTTCAAAACTGAGCATTTACTTTCTGGGGGGAAAAAAAGAAAATCCAATAAAAATCTATCAATGCAACAGGGCAGTTAGTATTCCAATTGATCTATTAAAGGTCATATTTTCATTTATCAGCATGCTAGAATGTCGTAACAACATTATTCATCTTTTTCACTGAATAGGCTACAGCAATTCATGTTAAGCAAATAAAGACTATTACCGCACTCTCCTAGGGAAGTTAACATTAAGTAGTATTATTTGTTATCTTACCAGTATGCAGCTCTACCGAATTGTTTACAAGACTAGAGGTTCATACAGTAAAGGGCTCTCCACAGAAGCTAATACTCTGGGCTAAATTTAACTCCATGCTAAGGAAGGTTGGTGTTGGTGTTTTAACCACACCCATCAGCACAAGCGTATTTATACAGGACTGAACTGGATTTTCATTTTATTACAGTAGGAACAAAAAAAAAAAAAAAAAAAAAAAAAGAGTAATTCAGAGTAGTTACATCTCTGTCTTCTCCCTCTTAAGCCATGCAAAGATGCAGGTGATAAAGTTCTCTGAGAAAATGCAGAATATTTATAACTGTGAACCTTGCTCCCAGTTAACAAAAGGCATCACACAGTGAAGCATGTTATTACTGCAGCCATCCAAGCCACTTGCAGTATCATTCATCACTGTTTTACCCTGAGACGTCGCTTCAGGAACAGATTGTATCTCCTTCCACTCTGCTGGAATAACCAACAAGTAGTTAGCAAGCTCACTGTTTCTCTCCAAGACCCAGGCTAACTGCTACGAGCCCATACCCTCCAACTAAAGTTCGCAAGAAATCCATGTCCTTAAAAAAGCCAGAAAAAGCCTCCCAACTGTTAAAAAACCACAAGTACCACAAACATTATGACTATAATGTCTTTTTTATTAAAGGCAAAGCTGTGCTGGCATCCATTTTGATAATAAACTCGGGTGTTTTAAAATAATGACTGCTATAATGTCAATTGCCATCATTTGGATATTTAACCAGATTTAAAAAAAAGAATAAGAAAGTTTCTTTGAATGCAATGCAAAGATTACAAAACAAGCACTGACTACTGAGTAGTGCACACGTGTTTCTGTTATGCTTATGGAAGGTTGGACCCACTGGGACATAAAACGGTGAATGACAACATAGGTTTATCTTCAAATGGGCTCACATTTACTAATAAAAAAAAAATAATTAAAGATCCCTACTGTTCCATAGCGTTGCACAGCTTCATGCATCTTCACTAGACACACTGGTAACTGCTGAAACCAGAGACCATCCATGCATCATGGAGAACTCCTGTATTTCTGAAGCTATCCTAGCCTTTGGGGAGCTACGGAACACTGTGCTGCAAATCAAAGTAATACAAAAAAACCTAAAAGCAGTTATTTCCTGATAATTCTGCAATCACAGATTAGTTTGAGTTGGAAGGGGCCTTAAAGATCATCTCATTCCAACCCCCCTGCCATGGGCAGGGACACCTCCCACTGGACCGGGTTGCTCAAAGCCCCGTCCAACCTGGCCTTGAACACCTCCAGGGATGGGGTATCCACAGCTTCTCTGGGCAGCCTGCTCCAGTGCCTCACCACCCTCACAGTGAAGAAATCCTCTCTCCGCCTTCCCTCTTTGGCAATTCTGATGGGGTTTTTTTGTTGTTTTTCTTCTTGAGAAACATTTACAGCAGATCAATTAAAGCAGACTACTTTGTACGACTGAAATCAAGACAGCTACCTCAGAAAGTGCTTTTGCTTCCAAATGCAGTACGTAATCCTGCAAGGCTAAGAGGCTCACAAAAATCATGGAATCTAACAGAAGAAAATAAAAGAAACAGCATTTTCCTATTCTGTTTTGTGCTTACAGGTGGGGTTTTTTGGTAAATATAATTATGACTACAAGCAATTGCAACTGTTCAGATGTTAACTTAATCAAATTAACGTAGTGCATAGAATTGCACCAACATCTACATAGCATCAGCAGTACTGTAATTATTCAACATTAGAGTAAGTGAACCCCAAAGTGCATTCTAACAACTTACAATATTGGGAATTGGCCTAAAACCAGACCACCCCAACCACTAATTTAAAAAGATAGATTGTGTGAGCAGACATTGTCCTAGGGGACTAACAAAATCCACATACACAACGAGAAAAAAAAAAAAAAAAAAAAAAAAAAAGAAAATCAGTAAATAATATTTATTTCAAAAAAAGCTCCTGCCCCAAATTCTTTGGGTAGCACAGTTATAATTAGATTACCCCACATAATTGAAGTCATACTTTATCTTTAGTGCCATCAAAATTTGCTCATTTTCTGAGATATATCAGAATCCTGCTCAGTCATTAAAGGTCTGACGATCAATTTAAGAAGATGCAGTAGTCATCACTGGATCTGCTTTGAGAACGGGAACACTTGTCACTTCCCTCTCCTTCCGTACACAGGATTATTCGTCACGGATAGTGACAGGCCTGCTTATTAAACCCATAAATTATTCCTTTCCACTTTGCTGCATTTGGATTTCACAAGAACAAGATCAGTCTTGCATATTCATGCCATTCTGGGCATACGTGTGCACTTACAGGTTTAAAATATACAAAACGTTAGTAATTTACACTGATTGCACCAGTGAATCATAAAACATTATGGATTAGTACATCTTATTTCTTAACAGCTCTTTCCAGAACTGTATTCAAATTAATTATCTTAGACAACCTGCAGTTATTAAATGAAGTTACACCTCATCAGAGCAGATATTCTGTGATGTGTACCTTCTGGAACACAAGTGGCCAAATTAAAACTTCCCAACGCAGCACCGAAAGCGAGCAGAAGCTTTTGAATAATTGAATAATACACAACGAGGAATTGCGGAAGAGATGGAGCCCCGAGGCGTGTGGTGAAAACTCAAGAGGCAACAGCCACAAGTTGCAACAAAGGAAATTCCTACTGGATGCGAGGGTGTGGCTGAGCAGGAACAGGTACAACCGGTTGCCCACAGAGACTGCGTCACCTCCATCCTCAGAGATCACATCCCTTGACCAAGCAAGGCCCTGACTGAACAACCTGACCGAAGTTTGAAGTCAGCCTTGCCTTGAGTAGGAGGTTGGCCAAAGAGACCTCCAGAGGTCCCTTCCAATCCAAGTCACTGTATGACTCTACAAATGGTGTTACTACAAGCGTTCAGCACTTACCAGCACTTGCAAAAAGCTGAATAAACCCATCAAACCTGCTTACAAAGCAAGTATATAAAAACTACTTGTTCCAAAACAAACATTGCCGTTCCATTCTCCGATAGTAACCTTCCAGTTTTAATAATCTAATTATCTCTGTAAGAACTAAGTGACTTCATAGCCTTCAGACAGATGTGCTAATTGAATGCTGTAATGGTCTATCATGAAGAGCTAAATTTTCCTTTCATGTGGCTACATAAGTGCAAACTTACTGGATTCATACGGAATTATATTAATATTTCTAGTTACCACATAATTGATAACTTCTGTCTAGACATCCAGCGGAGGTCAGGGTATTGGACTGTTTTCAACCAAACAACCCTCCAAGTACCTAGACTCGCAACCCTCATGTTAGACACAAACTAAAGCCCTGCAGTAGGAAATCCTGACTCAAATAGGACAGGTTACAGGAGAGACCAAGGTGCCAGTAGGGAAATAAACAAAGCACAGCTCAAGACAAAGTGAGGCTGTAACACCCATGTCCAGTTCTGCCCAAACTGGTTTGGGTAAAGCGTGTAAATGCTGGCTGGTGGTCGCACGCTACATTCATATCCATCAAAACTCTCCTGCTCTGCTAAATACTTCATGAGCAGGACTTGGCCACCTTGCTCCCACATGCGGCTCAGATACGCTTCGCCAAGGCCAAAGCAAACAAGCCAGTCACCGCGAACAGGAGAGGGGGAAGCGAGCTGCTGGATGTGGCATCAACCGCTAAACACTGTAACAGAAAGTGCTTCAGAGATACGACTTTGGATTGAAGCTGAAGAGAAGGCGGTAAACGTTTCTGTGGCCCTGCCCACCCACCGAAGCAGGCAGACAGCTGACCTTGGTCAGTACAACCAGCTAGCCCTCGGTGGTCTAACTATATCACAGTACCTGAAAGGCAAATATATTTTGCAGATCATACCAGAATGATTTAATCTTGTATATTCTCACAGGACTCTGAGGGATGTCTATTTCTGGTCATCCAGCTAATTTATGGCCTTACAGGCTGCTTAGCACAGCTCTCTCCTTATAGGCAATGGAGCTTCCTCCAAATACACCTTGCTCCCAAATACCCCAGCTCTCTCCGTGGCTGTATTTCAAAGACACAAGAACTTGGCTGAGAGCAACACTTTTCAGATTAATGTCCAGTCAGAAAACTGCAAGTTTCTTAGGGGCCTACATTCAGAAACGCACTTCCCAAACTCAATTCCCTGGAGTTCAAGGTTTCACAAGTGTCCAACCTCGCAGAGCT